CAACTCAAGGTCAAACTGCTAATATCATAAAATAGATCTTTTTAAACCCTACAACTTTTGTATTTAACATTTTTTTATACAACGCTTTGTTTTCGAGATATTCAGGTGTTCCGGTATATAATATTCACCCAGTATATATGTGTGTGTGTGTTTATTTTAAAACTTCCCACCTCAATATTTTAAAAAATATGCGTTCTACGAAAAATTGTTTAATACAAAAGTTGTAAGGTTTTGAGGGGAATGTAAAAAATTACTATTTGTCTGACCTTGGATGGAGGCATTAAAGTCACATACGTCAAAGTCAATTTTAATTTTTTAAATGGAATCCCCTACGTTTTTACAAATGCTTATAACTTATCTCGAGTTTTCCAAAACACTATAATAACGTATTTTTTTATTATATACTTTCTGAGTAATAAAACTTGAAAGTTACAGTACCACCGGCATTAGCATTACCCAAAGTATACTACACGGAGGTTGCTCGGTCGGAATTACACCTCTTTCGTGTATGTGTGTGTGTTGTGTGTGTGCGTACGTGCATGTGTTGTGATGTGATGGTCCTCAGTCCTTAACTCTGTTCCATAACTTATTATCATAAACATCCACCCAATCATCTATGCATCCATCCATGCACACGTACACATAGACGCACGCTCACACGCATGCTCACACACCCATATATATACACATCCACACCCATACACACTCCCACCCACACACGCACGCACACACACATATACATACACAAAAGAGGTGCAAATCCGATTGAGCAACCTCCGCATAGTACGCCTTGGGTGATGCCGACAGTATTATAACTTTTAACTTTCATTACTTAAAAAGTACTTAATGAAAAAATACATTATTATAGTGTTTTAGAGAGCTCTCGAAATAAGCTACAAGAATATGCAATAAAAAGTACCTGCGGAAAGTTCTTCTCCATTATCCCTGCACTATATATGAGCGTGAAAGAAACGGGCCTGCAGGTAGCAAAAACGATACCATTGTTAAGCCATTCCCACAGGACACAAACCTTAAAACTCCATCAAGCAAGCATTCCAAAGTAATCCAACGATTAGTAACATAATATTGAAATAAAATTCCTTCCTGAACTTTAAAAGAGTAATTTATTTATTCGTTGATACGTGTATCTCATTACTTTTCGTACAATTCTGTTAAAAAAATGCGAATGATAATAATACTGGGACGATAGTAATTAATAATGTATTAATAATTTATTTTATTTCATATTTCAGAAAATTTAAAAAAAAAGAGTAAGCCGGAATTGAACGCATGACGTTGAACGTTCTAGTTGTGCTCCCTACTCGCTGCGCCACGCTGACTACTTAAATGTCGTTCCTATTTAAGTGGTATTCTAGGCGCATGGAAAACTTTCAATTCCGATTCTTAAACTAGTGCTCATTGGCAACAGTCACATGAGCTGTGTTTACAGGAAAGGGATTGCTACAATATATATAAAGATTAGCCACAGCTAACGCGGCGCTTATTGACAATCCCCTTGTTAGTATAATTTCAACTTAAAGATACTTTCCAATATCATGAAAAAATAATCGATATTCAACAAAATATAGATAATGTCAGAGAATTAATTGAAAAAAGAATATTAAAAAGTATATAAAAAATGAAGATTAAAATAGTAATTGTGTCTTAGAATATGTTCCTGTTAGTAGAAGGAACTATGAAAGATTTTAAAGATGTAAGTAATAAATGTCAGATTAATAATGTCGATGAAACGGTAGCACAATGAAATGTTGGTGAAAAACGAATATTTGACAAAGTTACTTCTATTATGATATCTGAATGAAATTCTTAGACTTTATGTAAACTGTGAAGTATCGGAAAAGTTGGTATCGGAAAAATTTTTAATCAAAATTGTTGGATGTTTGGTTAAAAGATACATTAAAAAAACCGTAGTAGTAACTGCGTCAACTAGTATCGCGGCTTCTAATATTGATGGACTATTCATAGATTACTTTAATTATCAGTAGAACAAAATTATAAACAATACGAAGTATAAACAATTTTCTGATATGGTTCTCAAACTTATATAAGCGGGACTAAAAAACCTTGCTTTAATAATTATTGATGAAGTTTTAATAATTTCAAATATTACTTTTATATAACTGGTATCCCAGAACAGTCTACGAAGCTCTCGTGACAACGTAGAGCGGGTTAAAATGAACATAAAAGTTTTATACCGTTTTGCGATATTTGTAATAATGACCAAGAAATTAATTGCGAAATGTTAAGGAAAAGCGTGTGCTAAATGGTAGAGAACGGACCGCTCGAGTCACAACGCGATCTAGTAAAATAGCGCGCAGAAGTCGACGTATGATGATCGGAAGACAATGCACCATTGCCTATACTTATACTGTTGTGCTCCTATATATCGCCTCGGCGCGGTGCGGCAAGACGTAGAAGCGTAGTGGTATAAGTATAGACAGTGATGCGTTATCTTCCAATCGTCATGCGTCGACTTCCGTGTGCTATATTATTGGGTCGCGCTATGACTAGAGTGGTCCGTTCTCTACTATTCAGCACACGCTTTTCCTTAATTTTTCGTAATTAATTTCTCCCTTATTATTACGAATATCGCAAAACGGTATTGGACTTTTCATCTCAACCCATTCTACGTTCTCACGAGAGCTTCGTAGATTGTTCTGGGACACTATATATTAGGTGCGCAACTAAGTTCTCGCTGTTTTTTTTTTATGAAAATGCAACTTTATTGTGAAAAAATGGTTACAAATAAATCATTCAAAGTATTGCCCATCGCTAGCTACAACTTTTTCCCATCTTTCTGGCAGAGCTCGAATACCATTACGGTAAAAGCGTTCGTCTTGTGAGGCTATCCACGAATCAAGCCATTTTTTGATGTCTTTATATGAGCGGAACTGCTGATCAGCCAGACCATGTGCCATCGAACGGAACAAGTAATAATCGGACGGCGCAATATCTGGGGAATATGGCGGGTGGGGTAGGACTTCCCATTTGAGCGTTTCCAAATAGGTTTTAACGGGTTTGGCAACATGAGGCCGAGCGTTGTCATGCAGTAGAATCACTTTTTCGTGCCTCTGCTCGTATTGTGGCCGTTTTTCGCGCAGTGCTCGGCTCAATCGCATCAATTGAATTCGATACCGTTCCCCAGTGATGGTTTCGTTCGGTTTCAACAGCTCATAATAAATAACATCGACCTGGTCCCACCAAATACACAGCATAACCTTCGCAGCGTGAATATTCGGCCGAGCCGACGACGTAGAAGCATGACCGGGCAGTCCCCATGACTTTCTTTTCTTTGGGTTGCTGTAATGAATCCATTTTTCATCATCTGTCACGATGCGATGAAGAAAACCCTTCCTTTTTTGCCGCTGGAGCAGTTGTTCACAGGCGAAAAAACGACGCTCAACGTCCCTTGGCTTCAAATCATAAGGAACCCAAGTTCCTTGCTTTTGAATCATTCCCAACGCATGCAATCGCTTGGAAATGGCTTGGCGGGTAACTCCT